CGTGTAGGAGATTTTACTAATCCATCAAATCACGCTTTCAAAGTTGCGTGATCCGATTGACCCACTGTGAGCAAAATGTTAAATTTGTACTTAACATTGGAAAAGTCTAAGGTCAAATAAAGTATGAAATCTTATTTTAAAATAAAGGAACTGATAAACGCTGAAACGGAAGAGCCGAAAGGCGGTGGTGCTTTAAGAAGTTCCCAAAAGATCCAAGAGACAGTGATTAAAGAGATCTGTAATTCTAAAAAGAGAACGCTTCTTGGCAGGATCATCGGGCGTAAAAAAAAACATTAATATAATGACGAACAATGACCATGTTGAATGATGGAAACAAAACGAATACCTTTTTCTACTTGAGTTTTTCAAGTTGTAGTGAGTCCCGACAAAAAATAATATATAAAAATAAAATATATAAACAAAAATAAAAAGAATTAAAATTAAAATAAGCCATTTGCGCTTTCATTTAAAACCCCTCTCTCTTTCTTTCTTTATCCCCCCTCTCTTTAAACTTCTCCTTCTATACTTCCCTCTTAACTAACGAGAAGGCGAACCAAAAATAAAAAGACGAAGAAGAAAAGACTGAACCAGGCCGAAAAACGCCGAAAGTTTGCAGGATCAGTGCCTAATTATTTGTGACTGAAAATACCAAAAAGCAGGGAGGCTCTACGCATAACTTCCGTTAAAATGAAAAAGAAAGGAACGCCAGAAAATACAATAATTTAATTTAAAATACAGCTTCATAATTTGTAATTTTTTCATTAAGTGCCTATATGTTGGTGTACAAATATTAGAAGTCCTCTTTGAACTACCAAGAAATGCTTAAATGGGTTTAAAGTCGGCATAATCGCTTTTGTAACTTCTTAGAAATACCAAGTGAAACCACAAACATTCCATTGGCTCAGACCTGCCTGTACAGCCGCTATAGTCCACAGGAATCTCCATTACCTAACAGACGCCACATTGTGTCTAGTCGTAATAATTGTAAACGTGTCCAAAATGTGGTTATGTCTAACAAGTTTAGTTCTGAACACTGGCGGTTATGTAATGGTGTGTTAAATAAAAGTAAGTCTTCTATTCCTCCTCTCTTCACTCAATTTAACCTGTTAACATCTTCTGCTGAATATTTTGCTCGTAAATTCTTTTCCAGTTCTACTCTTTACTCATCTGGAGTATCTTTACATGATCTTCCATTTAGAAACGGGTCTCTATTGTGTGATATGCATATAACTCCGTCTATGTTTTCTGCTATTATCTCTAAAATGGATGTGATCTTGATGGTATCCTTGCAATAGTCCTTAAGAAATGTGATTCCCTGTGCCTTTTCTATGAATATTTTCATGGTAATTGTTCTGATGAGCTTTCCTCTTTGGTATCTAAACTTGATGAATTTAATTGTAGTAGTAGTTTGTCAGCAAAATCTCATCATTTTACAGTTGAAATGGCTAGATGTAATTGTAAGTTATATGCTAATATACTTTAAAAGAAATCCATTGAATTTGCTAAATAAAGTGGAATTTTATAAAAAGATATATTAAAACCATCTTTATGATTAAAGCATAAAGGAGGATCGTTAATGAAGCTACAGATTGTCAAGTCATATGTCATCTATCTCTTTGTGTCATCTGGCATTGGAGTTCAATACCTGGCCACAGCAGATGGAACAAAAAACTTTGAGAGTTGAGTTACTAAGGAGAATTAACTAAAACTAATATATTCAAAGGCATGACACGTGGAACTGGAACAATCTACCCTTTGTGGACTAAATAAAGGGTTCGGTTCGTAATTCCAACGTATATCACCTGAAAAAAAGCCAGAGCGTACAACGACCGAAACGTCTTGAATATGGCAATAAAAATGAGGACAAAAGTCCAGACAATGTAAATTGTGTAAATATCTCTATTTTAGATGAATCACTTTTTTGTTGCAGAGAGAGGATCACATTTTCTAACAAATAGAAACATTTGTAGCAAACGCTAAACTTTTCGTCTGGACATAAATGTCACTGAGTCAAAAATTAAAATTAAAAATGAACCCAAACAACTTTCCAACGCGGAATTCTGTCATTGATAATTTTATTTTTTATCCAATTAAAATTTGCCTAACATATTGCATTAATATTTTTCATCCAGTCAGAATTCGAATTCACGAATTATTTTCCGTAAAATTTGAGCCATCAAATTCTTGTAAATAACCTAAATGAAATATAAGCGAATCAGCCGTCTGTTTGTTGCATGGCATTTGTTTATAACCTTTGATTTACATAACTTTTCCTATCTTTCGGCTTCGTCTGCTTTCAATCAGTATCTACTAATATCTCATTGAACGGCAGAATTTCATAAAACCCATCCAAGGACGTATAACGTATTTATATATGAAATGATTCTTTTCAAATCAAACAGTTTAAACATCAATTTTATACGTTTATGTAGACTTTCATTTTTGTGTTCAGCTTCTGATTGTTGTTGTTTTAAATATGGTTATATTTAGAAACCATATTTACCTTGGTTAGTCTGTCGTCTATCTCTTTGTCTCATCTGACATTGGAGAATAACACGCAACTTGGGAAGATGAACTACTGCGCTAATTTCAGCTCTGACCAATGGATACAGATCGGGGTTGATAATTCTGTCAAGATGCAAACTGATAAATTTCAGACATTTTTAGGTTGATCATCATACCAAAGAGTTTAGTAGCTTCTATATAACGTCATGTTATAGACTGCTGGCATCGTTCTGAGCGAGCGACTAGCAAAGCAGCACCTGGAAACAGATTCTTTTAAATCCAGGTTTTCTTATGTGCGCTTGTAGTCACTTCAGCTTGATTCGCTAGTAAGGTTTCCAGTAACTTGTTTTAAATTATCCAACACATTAATTTGGATATATACATACATTATATATATATATATATAGAGAGAGATAGAGAGATAGATAGATTGATTGAGGAATCGGAGAGCCGAGTTCGAATTCCAGTCGAATCCATTGCATTCACTTACGTGCTAACACCCTTGGGAAAGGTGTGAATCCTCTTCTCCATCCAGCTATGGGTAAATAGCAGGACAGCCTGGGTTCTATAGCCTTTGATGGCAACTGGTCTAGGAGAAGGACAACTCTGAATTCAAACCTGGAGTGGATCCCCTACGGCAGATGGACGGCACTTTGTGCTACCTTCCGGCAACTCCTGCAGCCGCGCTGGTACCAAACTGTATTGGTTCATCCTTTCCTTTGGACTCTGATAGCAAAGCCGAGAGGGGAACTAGACGTCCGGGCAGGCCTAGTTCTCAATATATCCCGCCCAGGCTCGTGGCGCACTGCGCTACTCCATCGTCTCTCGAGACGGACGGATGCCGACGACGTCGACGATATATATATATATATATATATATATATATATATATATATATATATATATAAAAAATATATATATATATATATATATAAAAAAGACCAGGCCGATTCGTTACTTGAATTTCACGTCTCGAGTTTCACGGGCTGTCCTTTGTTAAGTTTTGACGTTGTGAAGCATTTTTTGCTCTCTCTAGATAATCATGGCATTAATTACTTTACTGAGTAGGTAGGTATTGGTCTTTTGCCCTTCTTTCTTTTTTTGGTTGTAATGTGGATTTTTTAAAAAAATATTATTAATAATATAAATATATAATAATAAACATAATATTTAAAAAAAATCCATATTACAACCAAAAAATTTTGCGGTATCTCTCTTCTTTTTAATATACACACTTTTCTCTCGTTGAACTACTATAACCTCTTCCTATATATATATATATATATATATATATATATATATATATATATAATATATATAAAAATAAAAATAAGAGAAATTAAAATTCGTATGTTAACTTGCTAGCTTGTTAACCTTCGCCATTCGGATCATCGGGCTGCAAGATCCATTGATCTGAAATTGCTCTAATTAAAACGAAAAATAATTTCCACGTGAAGCTCTCTAAAAAAAAAACAACATTCCTCTGAAATGTGGGTTCTACTTCTTTTTCATTCCTCGTCTCTTTGAAAAAAAAAAGACACAGGCGTGTCCGGAAATTCTGACTTTAAAATCATTCTCTTCGTCTTTCAATTTAGTCAAAAGACTAATATATAATAAATATCACCATTCTTATTTCTAATATTGTTATCATTTTGTGGACTTTTTATTCCTCAAATTTTATATATGTCTAGTCGATATTCACGTACACTTCTTAGGTTATATAAAAAGAGAAAACTCCCTAAATAAGTATATAGATGCATAAACATGGTGAGAAAATAACGATTTACTAAGCGCAGCTTGGATGCGACACAAAGCAGGAAGTATGGAACACCCAGTGAGGATTGGACTCACAACCCATCTTGCTAACCATTACACCACGTCGCAGTAAGCCAGTCAAAAAATAGGAATTTAGTAAGCGTAGTTGTAGCACAAGGTCGCAAGTATGTAGTACTCAGCGAGGATCAAACTCACTATTCAGTAGTAATTCATTTAGCAAGACAAACTCGCCAACTATTATACCAATGGAGGTGCCCTGGTCGGAAAATAAGAATGAAAATAGACGCATAGCGCCAAATAACATAGAAGCTTGTATTAAAAAATAGTCAAATCTTGTCTAATTATTAACACTAAAAAATAAAGACAAAATACTCTAATATTCCTCACGAGGAGGGGATCCTTGCCTGCATCATTTTTGCACGACAACAATTTCCAGAGTAGTTTTGCACATATCTCTGGAAGCCCTGGAAGTCCTCTACATATAGCTCTGGAAGCCCTCTACACATATCTCAGGAAGCCCTGGAAAACTTCTACACATATCTCTGGAAGCCCACTAGACATATCTCTGGAAGATCTCTACACATATTTTTGGTAGCCCTAAGCATATATCTCTGGAAGTGCTAGAAACTCATTAAAAATATCTCTGGAAGCCTCTTACACATATCGCTGGAGGCCCTCTAAACATATTTTTGGTAGTACTCTGCACATATCTCTGGAAGCCCTGGAAGCCCTCAGCACATATCTCTGGAAGCCCTGGAAGCCCTCAGCACATATCTCTAGAAGCCCTGGAAGCCCTCTATACATATCTCTGGAAGCCCCCTACACATATCTTTGGTAGCCCTCTGCACATATCTCTGGGAGCCCAGGAAACCCACTAAAATATCTCTGGAAGCCCCCTACACATATCTCTGGAAGCACTCTAATCATATCTCTGGTACTCCTCTGAACATATCTCTGGAAGCCTTGGCAGACCTCAACGCATATCTCTAGAAGCCACTTACACATATATCAGGAAACCCTCTACACATATCTCTGGAGGCTCTAGAATCCTGAGAAGCCTTCTGCACATATCCCTAGAAGTCTGGAATACCTCTACATGTATCTCTGGAAGCCCTGGTATCCCTATACACATATCTCTGGAAGCCCTCTACACATATCACTGGTAGCTCTCTGCACATATCTCTGGAAGCCCTGGAAACCCACTAAAAATATCTCTGGAAGTCCCATACACATATATCTGGAAGCCCTCTAAACATATCTCTGGTAGTCTTTTGCACATATCTCTAGAAACCAACACATATCTCTGGAAGCCCTAGAAGCCCTCTACACATATATCAGGGAGCCCTCTACACATATCTCTGGAATCCCTAGAAGCCCTATACATATATCTCTGGTAGCCCTCTACATATATCTCTGGAATCCCTGGAAGTCCTCTACACATATTTCTGGAATTCCTGGAAGCCCTATACACATATCTCTGGAAGCCCCCTACACATATCTCTGAATTTGATTCTGATGGGCTTCTATCATTAAAACTGCTATTTTCATCCAAAAGTTGCGAATTGTTTAATCTATTATTGGAATTAATTTCTTCACAATGATTTTATATTGATTATATGTTTTGTGAGTGTTGTCTGGTAGCCCTCTGCATATATCTCAGGAAGCCCTGGAAGCCACTAAAAATATCTCTGGAAGGCTCCTACACATATCTCTGGAAGCCCTTGAAACATATCTCTGGTAGTTATCTGCACATATCTCTGGAAACCCTGGAAGACACATATCTTTATGTGAAATTTATTCTTTATAAAAAATAATTAGTCTCAGGGTCATTTATAGGATTTCCACTTAATATTTGTCCTCTATAGGTTTCTAGTTTTTTCTTGTTTCTCTCTCTCTCTCTCTCTCTCTCTCAACATCTCTTTATTCATCTCTTTATTTCTCTGTCACTATCTTCTTTTGCTGCCTCTCTCACTCCATCTTTTTCTCTCTCACTCTTTCTGTCTTTTCATCTCTCATTCAGTCAGGCTCTCTATCTTTTTACTCTTAGTCTCCTTCTGTCATTTCTCTCCCACTCTCTCTGTCTTTTCTCTTTCACTCCCTCTAACTTTTCCTCTCTCATTCTCCCAGGTTCTCTCTCATATGACCCTTACTCCCCTTCTGTCATTTCACTCTCACTCTGTGTAATTTTCTCTTTCACGCTCTCTGCCTTTTCCTCTCTCATTCTCTCAAGCTCTCTGTCATTTTACTCTTAATCTCCTTCTGACATTTCTCTCTCACTCTCTCTGTCTTTTTCTCTCTCACTCTCTCTGACTTTTTCTCTCTCACTTTCTCTGTTTTTTCTCTCTCACTCTCTCTGACTTTTTCTCTTTCATTCTCTCAGGATATCTGTCTTTTTACTCTTACTTTCCTTTTATCATTTTTCTTTTCCTCTCTCTGTCTTTTCCTCTCTCATTCTCTCAGGCTCTCTGTCATTTTACTCTTAATCTTCTGTCATTTCTCTCTCTTTGTCTTTTTCTCTTTCACTCTCTCTGTCTTTCCTCTCTCATTCTCTCAGGTCCTCTGTTATTTTTCTGTTAATGTCCTTTCGTCATTTCTCTCTTATTCTCTCTGTCTTTTTCTCTCTCACTCTCTCTTTCTTTCTTTGCCACTCACTCTCTCTGTTTTTCTCTCTCAGTCTCTTTATCTTTTCTATCTGATTTCTTCATTCTCTTTCTTCCCTACTCTTTGCACCCCACTCTTCCTATATCTGTTTATCTCTCTCTTCCCCTCAGTGATTCAATTATTCTCTACTTAATTCTTCTTACTCTCTCCAGTCTGTCTCTCTTTTTTACTGTTTCCATAAAAATGTTTCTCTTTCTTCCATTATTGTTTCTCTCTGTTCATTGCTTTGTCCTTTTTTTTTTTTTTTCAATCATTTTCCTCAAAATTTTCTCTCTATGCCTCTTCATTTCTTTCTCTCCTACTTTTTTTTGTTTCTCTCTTTTCTGGTTCTTATATTCTCTCTCTCTTTCTCTCTAAGTCTGTTCCCTCTCCTCTCTTTTGCATCTACTATTTCCTTGATTCTTATTCTGTCTCTATTTCCCTTTTCTTTCTATCTCTTCTTTGTTAAAACAAATTGTCTTCATTAGCAACTCTCTCTCTTTTCTTTTTTCTTGTTTATTTTTCTCTATCAAACAATTTACTGTCTCTATTAACACCCCTCCATCAATTCCTATTACTTCCTCACTATCTCTCTTACTCTCCTGTTTCTGCAAAAACAGTTAAAAATAACTAATGAGTAAAATATATAACTGCCTTCTAAAATCCTCCAATCTGAACAATTACCCAGAGATTAAAAATCTTTCAAAATGCATTTGTATCTAAGATTTCTGACTCATCAAATCAAGAAGCCTGTTTCAAGTTCTAACCTATATTTTGCTTTTCTGATATCATTAAAAGATTAAAGTTTGTTTTATCTTTGAAATATCAGCCTAATTACCATTTCGAAAACCCACTTGTCATATCTGTTATTCCCTATTTGATTATCTTGTAAGCCATTTTTTGTTTATACAAGGTGCAAGAGGCACTCAAGCTAGAAGGTTACAGAGTAAGAGGCACAGTTTATGGGGATATGTGGAGGAAGATAACAGTTGACTCGTGACTTGAACAGGTTAAGACTGTAGTGATAGGGGAAGCATCCTCTTGGGAGTCTGTTCCACAAAGCAGTGGAATCTGCTTGAGTAGAACTTAGATCTCACCAATGGAATACAAAGGGAATAAGGCTGTTTGTTACAATATCATGAGTCTTAGCCATGAAAGTTAGAACTAATGGAACTAAGGAATGTAGTTTGTCTGAACACTTCATTTACAAAAGAATAATTTGTATAAACATTAGGCTTTAAATATTGGATCCAAGTTTATTCATATATATATATTAAAATATGGCAAAGGATGTAAGTCATATATACATTTGTGTATATATTCTTATAGATGGTTATTTATACTGTGTGAATATTGGTTTGATTTTACAAGTAGATAAATCTGCTTATATGTAGGAAGGCATAAAATTGTCTAGTATTAATCTTCTAAGAGAGCATGCTTTGAAATCTGTTTATAGAATCTTTGGCACAGTGTTAAATAACCAACTCTCTCAGCCATTAAGCACATCTAAATATTTATGATGCTATTCTTATGCAGGTAAAGATCAACAAAGACAATACATCTGTGAGGTTTGAACTCACAAGTATGGCATGTAACACAATGTTAAACACTAGTATATGGCAATAATCCTAGAGATGTAGATCTGAAACAGTGTTTCCCAATCTTTTCTCAACCAGCACCCCCTTTAGGCACAAACTTTTTTATCCCCCCTCCCCGTCAAATTAAATTTTGAATATTATACTGAATTTATCCTTCATAGCAAAATAACACTTAGGTATTAGTGTAAAAGTAATTTTAATATTGTTTTTATTTGTTATAAATGCCAATGATTAAAATGCTAACAACTTTTATTTGATCACTTATCTCAATGTTTTCAATGTGATGATTGACTTTGGTGTTTACTGGCTAAAGCTCTTACTCTAGGTTCATTGCTGCTTAGAAGTAATTGTAGATCTCCTTGTTTTGTAATTTCTAGGCAGTTTCTTTGTTTAGTAAGAAGCTGTGTAACTGTGGTGAAACCGCATTCAGCCATATTGGAAGTTGGAAAAGCAATAAAGAAAAGTTTGATAGCTTCCCACAGCTTTAGATAGCTTTTAGAAATTTCTTTTTCTTGCCAATATTAAATAATTTTTGAAAATTTGAATAAAAAATGGATAAATCCTCACTACCCACCCTTAGTATGTTCAATTCCACTCAAATGAAAAAAAACATCTCCCAGTGCTCCCTTTCAACATAACAGAAGCCACAAGGGACACTAACGCCAATGTTGGGAAGCACTGATCTAGACACTTTTTGTGGGTGTGTGTGTCTATGTATGTCTATTTTACATGTAAGTCTGAAGTTAGGGGTGTAGGGATACAGTGATTCTCCCCCTATCATTGAGATAGTCACATGGGTCACGTAACGGCTGGTGAATGATGTCAGAAGATAGAATAATGAAGGGCAGTTGTGATGTACAGCTCAGGAAAGAAGGATGTCTCTAGCCCACAGCAGTCGATCTTAAAGAAAAAAAAAACACATGGCCTAACCAGGTTCATAGAGAAGCCACCATAACTCCAGTTTTCCCTTTTGAGAAATATTACAAGCAATGTTCCTCTTTTTTACACACTGTTTGTTGTTGCATATATGTTATAATTTTTCTGCATGAGACATGTGTATATGTGTATATATCTAATTTTGTGTACAACATAGAATTATAAATCTTTCTCTTTTCCTATTCATCTATTCTGTAAAGTACAGTGTTATTATATCACAGATATAATAATGCCTATAATGGGGGAAATTCAAATGGAGAAATAAATCTTTCTTCTATAGCAATCTTCTGTTGAGAAAGAGATCTTGACAATTTCTTTGTGTGTGTGTCTATATACATGTAGGTCTGAAGTTGGGGGCGGGGGTACATGAATTAGAGCAATCAACATTGATGGCTGTCAGGAAGTTACCCTAGGGTAGGCTGAATGCTAAATAATTTTTGTTTTTGTTTATCTACTTCATTCTTCAAAAAATAAAATACAGTTGCATTTTATTTAATTACCGTATCTGACAGCATATAAGACATGTGGGTGTATAAGACACACTCCAATTTCAGGGGGGCAAATCAAGGAAAAATTAGTAATTGGTAAAATTAGTAAACCTACATATGACCTATAAGACACAGGGGAATTTTAAAAAATATTTTTAGTAAAAAAAGTGTACCTTATATTCCGTCAAATATGATATATGTACAAATCATCATTTCCTTCTTGTCTCTAAGTGTCAGTATATAGTAGATTGTGATGTGTTTAGCATCTTTGTCAATTTCTGAGTATTTTTCCTATGGATTGCTTTCCATTAATGACTAGAGCTTCATCATTAACAACTGATGACTACTCAGGTCTGGATTCATCTTCCAATGTTTCTCCAGAAGAAATATACATCCTATGCCAAGGAATGTAGGTCACTGACCAGCCTGGAAAGTCATATCTAAGCTATTCACATATGAAATTGATTCTGTAGCCATACATAATTATATAAAAAGTGGCCAAATGTTCTTTATATCTGAGCCTACCAAACTCTGTTTACAACATATTTGTGGGAAATATAACTATAATAGCTACGCTCACATGTAAAAAACACATACAAATAATAGTATCATTAATGATAATAAAAAAATCTTTTGGCATAATAATGGATGATTAGTCAACATTGTATGTATGCCAGAGATTTCCAACACTCAATAATATCAACTATGAACACTGCCACAACATGCTGACCATGTTTGGAAAATGAAATACCTTCTCATCTCTATGGATACATATATTAGAAAAATTACATATTCAGTGAATAAAATGCCCTAGATAATGGCCAATAGAATAGCTGACGGTGCTCAGATATAGAGAACATTTGAATAGTTTGTATATTTTTTTTTTTTTAAGCATTACGCCCCAAGCAAGGTGTGAAGCCACTAGAATGAAGGGGGTTGCAGAAGATTTGGAGCAAGAGCAGATAGGAGTGATAGAAGAAAGGATGAGGAGAGGGATAGTGGGTTTCAAGGTAACTAGAGATGTCGATTGACATTACATTTGAATAGTTGGAGATTATAGCTCTCAGGGAAACAGTAGGAAGGGTGTTCCACAGGTGAGATGTGCGAGGTATGAAGCTTTTGGAGTAGAAGAGACGGCTACATTTAAAAGTTTCTACAGTGTAAGGGTGGGAGCGGGATGCCAGCCTCGTAGGGCGCTTGAATTCATGGAGTCTGGGAACCAGTGAAAGCAGCTCATCGGAGCAATTATTTTATGTCCAGAAAAGAAAATACCTGTATGAATGCAAAAAAATAATAAAAGTACCTTCATAATCACAGTACCTTGTCAGATATCTTAAATAAAATTTATATATATATATATATATATATATATATATATATATATATATATCTTATGATGATTGCATCTAGCATGAAACAGCCTGTTGCCTCTGAGTGTTGACTTCAATGTTTACTTTTATATTTATATTTACATACACTCTATCTCTGATATTGAGCACTTTATTCCGTAAATATAGCACAACTTAAAACTATATTTCTTCATATAAGTAAAGGGTTAAGTTCGACATTCCAACCACCTGAAGAAGGCTGGAGCGTACAACGGCCGAAATGTAATAAATATGGCGACAAAGATGAGGACAATAGTGAGAATAATGTAAATAGTGTACCTTATAGTAAATTAAGTAAATATTTATTCACTTATCTGTGTATGCATGCGATCACACGCATTGCTAATATCTAATTATTTGATTTATATCCATATTTATACCTATATATATATATATATATATGATGAAAAATAGTTTTATAATATGCTATATTTTTAGCATAAAAGTACTGAATATCCAGTAAAGAGCATATGTTTTTTATAAGCAGTGTGGACAAAAGTTTTAATATCGAATAGCGATAGTCTATTTCATGCTTGAATGCAATCTTTTGGCCATATGCACAATGCAAACGAATATGCGTAAAGGATATTATATTTGTGGTGAGATGGCATAATAATGGATGATTAGTCACTTTGTATGTACACCAAAGATTTCCAGCATTATCTGGAAATTTTCAGCATTATCTTGAACTTGTACAAAATTCGCTTAATAGCAATATCCTGTAAATAAGCATGTAATCAGTTTTTCTTTTTGCATTTCTCATGGTTTTTAAAGTGTAAAGTGCATCAAGAGGCATGTTTTTGTGATCTTTTGGAAAAAGTGACATGAGTCAATAAAAACAAATCTTTTTATTCCTCTTTATGTTTTCTCAACCTCAAAAAAACAACAACAACAGAAAAAAGTACTGAACTGTTATGTAACATCAGTCCTCCTATATGGTGGTAAATGCTGGCCAATCTCTTTACAGATGAAGATGAGATTTGAAACAGCAGAAATGTGATTCTACAGAAGGATGCTGAACATGTGGACAATGACAAAGTTTTAGAAAAAATGGTAACAAAAAGGACACTTATTCATAACATCAGGAAGAGAAAGTTGGAATTTCTAGAACACATAATGAGGAAAGAGGGCTTTGAAAATTTGATATTCACAGGACAGACTGAAGGCAAGAGGGACAGAGGAAAACAACAGATAACCTACCTAATGAGCTTGAGTAAATGGCTGGCAAAAAGAGAAAATGTATTAAGAGGTAAAAAGGACAGGAAATTGTGGTGAGCCACGATTGCCAACAGCCTGAAATTACATGGTAGATAGAAGAAGAAGATGTTAAATGTTATTGCTATTACAACTGATTACAAATAGGGTTTGACTTGTGTCAGAATGAGCTTAAGATGAGGGGGTCAGACTAGAGCTTCATCATAACTAGGGAATTATTTGTATATAACATTACCCCTAGACTATTGGCAGATGGCAAACAAAGGGAAATTTTTAAAACATTATATATACAAATGCTGTACTGGCCACCAATGCACTCAATTCTTTTATATATATATATATATATATATTTCTTTTTAGGAGATGGATTCAATCCAACATATTTATTCTAATTTGTTTGTTTAAACATTATTTTTAATAGATATTCATATTTGAATAGATGCTCTGATTTTATTTATTTATTAATCAGTATATTTATTTATTTACACCTGTGAGGCCTGAATATTCAAGAAATCTTGTTAGAAAATATGCATTCTATGACAGGATTTGAACCTGCATCTCCTCGAGGAAACTGTCATTAGATCTGACATGCCTTTGACCAATTCAGCCATGTGAGGTCTGCTGATCAAACAAAGCCCGAAAAGTGCTTCTGAACACACATCTTCTTTCCTGATTCTCAAAATATTCATATCTGCTTCGTTTCATATTCTAACATAAATAAAGACAATTTTTTAGAAAATGGATTAAATCAGACATATATTTTTAAATTTATTTGTTTAAAATATATATCAAATTTAATTATTTTCTGTATCTCCTGTCTCACTATAATTTCTACAAGAGGGGAGAGTTCATCATACATAAAATAGAAAGTTACTTTTCAATCACAGTATACAAGTGTGAATGTAAAATGATTGCTTACAGTTAGACTAATAAAAAAGAATATGTAATAGCATTACTTAACTTACCTATGCCATTTAATAATGATATATCAATTGACAATCTTAATGTTATTTGACTCAGGTATGTATGACATTTGACATGTCATTTAATTTATACTGATTGATAATTATTAGAGAGGATGTGAAAGCAGTACAAAAAGAGGTCCTCAAATGAGTGAAAGAAAGAATGAAATGGAGAAATAGAATGAAATGGAGAAATAAAGAAAGACAGTGAAAATAGGAGAGAGTGAAAGAGAGAGAGAGAGTGAAAATAGAAAGAGAGAAAGAAAGAAAATGAGAGGAGAGAGAGAAAATGGAGAAAGAGTGAAAATAGAGAAAGAGTGAAAATGGAGAGAGAGCAAAAGAAAGAGCAAAATGAAAATGGAGAGAGAGTGAAAGAAAGAGCGAGTGAAAATGGAGAAAGAGTGAAAATAAAGACAGAGCAAAATGAGAGAGAGAAAGAAAATAGAAATAGAGAAATGAAGAGAAAAGGTACAAGTAAAAATGGAGAGAGAGTGAAAATAAGAAAGAGTGAAAATGGAGAAGAGAAAATAGAGAAAGAGTGAAAATGGAGAAAGAAATGAAAATGGAAAAATAAAGAGCGAGAAAATGGAGAGTGAAAATGAAAAAGAGGAAAGAAAGAGAGCAAAAAAGAGAAAGAGGTGTGAAAATAGAAATAGAGTGAAAGAAAGAGTGAAATGAAGAGAAAAGGTGCAAGTAAAAATGGAGAGAGAGTGAAAATAGAGAAAGAGTGAAAATGGAGAGAGAGTGAAAATAGAGAAAGAGTGAAAATGGAGAGAGAGCAAATGAAAATGGAGAGAGAGTGAAAGAAAGAGCGAGTGAAAATGGAGAGTGAAAATGGAGAAAGAGTGAAAGAAAGACAGAGCAAAATAGAGAGAGAAAATAGAGAAAGAAAGAGTGAAATGAAAGAAAAGTAAAAAATGGAGAGAGAGGAAAATAGAAAATGGAGAGAGAAAATAGAAAGAAAAATGGAGAGAGAGCAAATGAAAATGGAGAGAGAGTGAAAGAAAGAGCGAGTGAAAATGGAGAAAGAGTGAAAGAAAGACAGAGCAAAAATAGAGAGAGAGGAAAATAGAAATAGAGTGAAAGAAAGAGTGAAATGAAAAAAGGTGCAAAAAAATGGAGAGAGAGTGAAAATAGAGAAAAAATGGAGAGAGAAAAATAGAGAAAGAGTGAAAATGGAGAGAGAGCAAATGAAAAATGGAGAGAGTGAAAATGGAAAAAATGGAGAAAAAAGAAAGACAGAAAAAAATGGAGAGAGAGAGGTGAAAATAGAAATAGAGTGAAAGAAAGAGTGAAATGAAGAGAAAAGAAAAAATGGAGAGAGAGCAAATAGAAAATGGAGAGGAAAATAGAGAAAGAAAAATGAGAGAGAGCAAATGAAAATGGAGAAATGGGAAAGAAAGAGTGAGTGAAAATGGAGGAGAAAGAGAAAGAAAGACAGAGCAAAAATAGAAAAGAAAATAGAAATAGACAAAGAAAGAGCAAATGAAGAGAAAAGGTGCAAGTAAAAATGGAGAGAGAGGAAATAGAAAGAGAAAATGGAGAGAGTGAAAATAGAAAAGAGAAAATGGAGAGAGAGCAAATGAAAATGGAGAGAGAGTGAAAGAAAGAGTGAGTGAAAATGGAGAGTGAAAATGGAGAAAGAGTGAAAGAAAGACAGAGCAAAAATAGAGAGAGAGAGTGTGAAAATAGAAATAGAGTGAAAGAAAGAGTGAAATGAAGAGAAAAGGTGCAAGTAAAAATGGAGAGAGAGTGAAAATAGAGAAAGAGTGAAAATGGAGAGAGAGTGAAAATAGAGAAAGAGTGAAAATGGAGAGAGAGCAAATGAAAATGGAGAGAGAGTGAAAGAAAGAGCGAGTGAAAATGGAGAGTGAAAATGGAGAAAGAGTGAAAGAAAGACAGAGCAAAAATAGAGAGAGAGAGTGTGAAAATAGAAATAGAGTGAAAGAAAGAGTGAAATGAAGAGAAAAGGTACAAGTAAAAATGGAGAGAGAGTGAAAATAGAGAGATGGATGAAAATGGGAGAGAGAGCAAATGAAAATGGAAAAGAGTGAAAGAAAGAATGGAATGAAAATGGAAAAAGAGAAAAAAAGACAGAGCAAAAATAGAGAGAGAGTGTGAAAATATGTTGAAATGAAGTCATTGCTGGAGAGAGACAGAGAATGAAAATGGAGAGAGAGTGAAAGGAAAAAGAATGAATGAAGAGGTAGGGTGCATGTTGTGGTCATTGCTGAGTATTGAGCTGTTCATCAATATTTTCTATAGTGTGAAATGAGTCCTATGTTGGATGTGAAAAGACGTCCACAGTCATCATATGATAGGGTAGGAAGGTTGAGGAGATCAAGAGCTTTGGCTTTTCTTTAAAGGATGTTGTTTTTTGCAGATTACTCTTCTCCAAATGCAAGTAAAATGAAGGAAATAAAAGAAAATATAACAACAAAAGTAATTTTAAAAGTTAAATAAGAGAAAAGTTGAGTGTGAATAAATATAAAACAAAGAAAATGAACGAATGAAAGAAAGAAGGAATGATGATAGAAAGAGAAAGAAAATTTCTCAAAGAGGGAGGACAGAAAGAAAAAGCAGAAGACTAATAAAATGAGTGAAGGAAGGAAAGTTTTATAAAGAAAAACAGGGATACATAAAATGTGAAAAATAATGGAAGTTGGGGAATGGAAAACATTGGTAGATGAGAAAGAAAGTAAAGTAAAAGAAAAAAATGGAAGAAATAAAAGAATGAAAATAATGAAAAAGAGAGAATAAATGAAAGAATAAAGAATGTGCAGAATGATATGAACGAGAAGAAGACAGAAAAAATAAAGAATGAAAGCAAAAATATAAAAGAATGAAAAAGAAATTGAAAGAAAATGAGAGAAATAAAATTAGAGTGTAAAAAAAATTACATGTAAACTATTGATCTCATCTTTGTTATTATCACAATGTTTCGGTTGTTATGCCCTGCGGCCTTCTTCAGGTATGTGTTAATCTGGATAACTTTCAGTAAATTTTGAACTGAACACTTTACTTAATTTGTTTACTATGGCTCAGTTATTACTTACCTCATTTCCACTGAGTCCCAATATACACAAGGCAATATAGCCAAGTATATTAATGATTTGGTGGCATAGCAATTGTGAGTTCAATTCATGGGTTGGGTAGTGTGTACTTGACCTCAGTGGAAATAGGGTACTGAGTAAGAATTAGATTAGATATACCTAGACATGGGAAGCTGATATGTCCCAGAAAGGGATATATTTGTTTGAAGTAGCAAAGTGGTTTTGGACTACTGTAACCGAGTAGAACAATCTAGCAGGTAACCGTAATGGACTGGTCCTTGTCGTAGGGGTAGGCAATAGGTGAAGACAATAGGCGTAGCCAGTAGGTGTCTTTCTGTACCTCCACATCAGTCTGTATTTATGGCTGACACCAGCCAATCATATTACTGTAAGGGGGAACCCAGGTGTATGCATATTCGTTACATCAGAAGTAGAATGGAAACAGTGAAACTCCCTGAAATTTACCTGGATTGACAAATACCTGATGAAGTCTGGAGGATACAATAGTCGAAATGTTGTGATAATAACAGCAAAGATGAGGATAACAGTTTGTCTGTAAATAATGTAAGTAATGATGACTCATTATCCTAGAAATTCATCTAGAAAGTAAAAAAGAAATTAAAAATGTAAAAAAAAAAGTGTAGGTGAAGGAATCAAGAGAGAGGAAAAACATGAAAGAAATGAAGGTAAGACTAAAAAATGTGTTATTACAAGACTAAAAGTGGCTTATTATTAGAGTGAAAGTGTGTTATTACAAGACTAAAAGTGGCTTATTATTAGAGTGAAAGTGTGTTATTACAAGACTAAAAGTGGCTTATTATTAGAGTGAAAGTGTGTTATTACAAGACTAAAAGTGGCTTATTATTAGAGTGAAAGTGTGTTATTACAAGACTGAAAGTGTGTTATTACCAGAGTAAAGGTGTATTATTACAAGACTAAAAGTGGCTTATTATTAGAGTGAAAGTGTGTTATTACAAGACTAAAAGTGGCTTATTATTAGAGTGAAAGTGTGTTATTACAAGACTGAAAGTGTGTTATTACCAGAGTAAAGGTGTATTATTCCAAGACTAAAAATTTGTAATTCCCAGTGTGAAAGTATGTTATGACAAGACTAAAAGAAAGAGTGAAAGCTGAGAATGAAAGAATAATAGAGAAGGAGAGAGAACAATAGTCAAAGAATAAAAGAAATGAAAAAGAAGGACAATAAAAATATAGGAAGAAAATGAAAGATATTAATTCAATGACAACAAAAAAACTGAGATAATAAATATTAAGAGAAAGAATAAAAAAGAACAAAGAAAATAATAGAAGGAATATATTTTTTCAGATAGAAAAGGGAAGAAAAATTGGAAAGGAAAAATTAGTTATAAACAATGAAATAAAAATTTTTTTTAAAATGACAACAACAGCAGACATTTGGACAGGTCACATGATGACTTTGTTAAAAAGAAAAAAAGAATTAAAACTAAATCTGTACAAATATTATCAACTGGAAATGAGAAGTTATGATCCTGATTGGTTTGGTTAGATTTGTAATCAGTGGGTGGATACAGTTTGAGGAAATTGGATCAATAAATGTTTTCATATGCCAACTTTCTTTATCATGCCATTAATCATCTACCTGGATTTATTCAATCCCACCTTTACCATTGGCAAAAACGATACTTACTTCTAACATATGTTTCATATACAGTTAGGTTTAACAGAATAGGTCAATAAACAGTGAAATTCAACATTTCAATCCAGACAGAGGCATTTGAAGTGAAAATATAAAAACATTTATTGAAGGAAGTTCAATATATATTTACTCATCTGATTAGGACCATGGAAAACAAAAAAAAATCCAATTATTTTTAGTTATTTCTTCTAGTACACACACACAGACACACAGACACAGATAAACACATACACACATACACATATACACACATACACATATATGTATGTTATAGATTTGGGGTAGGATCTCTGACTGATGTTAAATCAGTTGAGTTTTGATCCTGGCTTGAAGCAATTAGACATCTAGCGATGCTGATGAGCTGCAATACAGTGAAACAAGCTTGTATATGGATGAAATATATATATATATGTGTGTATATATATTTCTGTGTTTATACATTCTTTTTATAGATATAAATATTTAAGTAAATGCTCTGTTTATAATAAACAGTATTAAACAACATTTACTGGCCTGAAACAAATATTCCCATATTCAGATAAATATTTTAGGCTGGTAAATGTTGTTTAATACTGTTTATTATAAACAGGGCATTTACTTAAATATTTGTATCTATAAAAAGAATGTATAAATATAAAAATGTCTTAAAATAATCGTCGGACTTTGTCCATTTCATTATATATATATATATATATATATATATATATATATATATATATATATATATAAATAAATATGTGTGTGTATATATATATATATATATATATATATATATGTGTGTGTGTGTGTGTGTATTAATCAACTTGCCCTCTTCACCAAGCAAGGCAATAATGTCACTAAGATGCAAGGGGCTACTGTGAAAAAAAATGAAAAGATTTTAAAAGGAACCAGAAACCTGATTCTAAACAGGGAACAAGGGATAAACCTCTACTCCTGTTCAAAAGACAGGGGAGGAGTGTGAATCAGATAATAGGCAAACCTATCTACTCCTATTGAGGAGAAGAAAAGAAAAATAAATAAATAATAAGTAAATAAAACCTCAGAGTTCAGGTGGAGATGTTAGAAGTATAGAGTTGAAGTAGACTTTATAAGGAACCAGTGACACAATCCTAAAACAGGACAGAAGGCTCAGAGAACTTGGCACTCACAGGACATGGTGAAGGAAAGAGTGACAGAGCAAAGTAGTGAATAAGCTAGCTAATGAGCATTTGTGAAATGACTGACAGAACAGTTGATTAGGAGCTAAGAGTGACAAGGGACAGGTAATTTTAGAGAACCCTGATCACCCAAGTCCTGAAAAGACACAGTATATAGAAATGAAAGAGATCCTGGCTTCTTTGCAATCAACATCTGAATCTGTTGCCTTTATCTGTCTCTGGAGATGAACTAGAAACAGTTTCCCCCCCACAAAACAGAACCATGGACACGTAGAATGCATGAAATGCATTTTATAATAATAAAAAAAGAAAATTGAATGAGCAAAAATGGATTTTTTTTATTAATGCTTGTTGCTTATTGTAGCAAAACCATTTGATGGAACGAGCAACAGCTGTTGATTAATTTGATATACAACAGAAAATCTGTTCCTGATTCTTGTGGACTGATGGTGTCAACATTAATCATGTCAGTGAACATTCAATCTGCTGTTTCAGGCAAAGAAATCACTTAAAATAGGGAGTTTTTATAGATAATGTTGATAATAAACTTATCTGTTTTTACCTGAAACAAATATTCACATATTCAGATAAATATTTCCTAAATTGTTCATCTTGATATTTGTTCAGTATGAAGATTTTACAAGCATAAAGAAAAGGTACTTAAAAGCTGGAAATGCTGTCACCAAACTGCTTAAATTTTAATTTACTGATTGTGACAGCTATTAGAGAGATGTGATAAAATATACTTTAATGTTTAAAAAAAATTATTCAGTATTATTATTGTTTAGGTAATAAGCATTATAACATTATTATTATTGTTTAGGTAATAAGCATTATAACATAGCACAAAGAAGGAAGTGTCAACAATATACACATTTTTTAACCCATAGCTGGAGGGGTAGATGGATTCATAAGAGACTGTAATGAACTCAACTCAAATTTGAACTCAGCTCTCCAAACAGGGATTAGGAGATATATAAAAAAGACACATTATACTGAGAGCTACAAAGGACAGGAAGTTGTGGAGAGGCATAAAAATTGATTTACTCCAAAGGATGAATATTTGTATCAGATTGAAGAGAAAATTTGTGTAATATCACATTGTTCTTTTCTGATTTTGTTTTTAGTCGTTTTGCAAGCAACTAACAAAATGTAGAAAAGTGAATTTAAAAGGATCAAGAATTTGTGCTGAAACAACAACAACAATTACTGTTAATACAGATTGTGTATTGTGATGACTGGAGGCCATTAACACACTTATGACAAATATTTGTCAAATCTAGTGGAGTGCATATATCACACTTTAGAAGAAAAAATTAAATATCATACTGCTCTAGTGG